TAAATGAGTTTGGAGAAAAAAAAATGCCTGCATTTTAAAATCTGCTGCAGTCAGATGCCTGATTATTATATAGATGATTAGATGCTCCATATAAACTCTGGATGATTTATCAACTTATATAGCTGAGGATTGTACATTTTCCTGTATATTATATATGCTGGTGTGTTAATTGCAAATGACAAACATAAGAAAAACACAGCTCATTGCATGTCACCAAAGAATGGGGAAAGGAGCTTTGTTAACATTTTTTTAAAGTAGTTCTAAAGCCAGACAATCAGCAAACATGGTCAACTATGTTGACTACATACTACACAAATTAGCTGGTGAAGCTGTGTGCCTTTTATTCTGTTTCTATTACGTTTGTTTTGCTCCTTTGCAAACAGAATTCTTGCTCCCTATAGTCTCATCCTATAAACAGGATTATGGTCGCCACATAATGCTTTATCCACAAAACAAGCAAGATGCTAGAAACCGGAGTTAGGAATAAGCTGAAAAAAATAGTGATGTAATGAGAGATGCAGCCTGTGTTTGTCAACCTTTTTATGAAAGTGTAGATTTAGTGTTGATTGCAATTTTTGTATTGAAAAGTACGTTGGTCATGAAAATTAATGAAAGAGTTCTACCATACATAACCACCGAGGGAATTCAACCCTCTAGATCAACTCAAATCCACGTCAGGTGGGGATAAAAATCCCAGGGTTTCAATTGTACCTGTCAGATATGAAATGTTTTAGCTAAAAATGTTCATCTGTTGTCAGATGGATAGACTTTTCTTAACCTGTCAGTTTTCAAGCTAAAGGGAATAACATGAACTAGATTTCAGTGACCACCTGACATTAAGTCTTCAGTTTATGCATTCTTACTCATTTTTCACTGAGCATTTTGGACAAAGCCTGTATTTAATCTCAAATCAGCACAGAAGCAAGTATATTTTTAAAAATGTAAATTCAAAATTATAAAGAAGAAAAATTGCTCCTGGCAAGCTGAGAATCCCTCAAGGCACGCACAGAGTGAGGCTGGCAGACAGCAGCATTCACTCACTCATAGCCAAAAAACTGGAAACTCACACTAAACCAAAGCACTCATATAGAATCAACTTCTCCCACCAGGTTTATTCCTACTAACTCACAGATCCACAGAGAGAAATGACTAAATCTCCATTTTAATAGCTCCTGTCAGTAGTTTTTGCTCTGCAAGGACTGTTTCAGCAGTTTTGGTGGTAATATATCCCATTTTCCTGATTAACAGCCATTTTATAACTAGTGTAATTGGCCACAAATCAGGAGAATGTCATAATGTAGCAAGAAAACATTCCTATCTCTGTCACAGCCCAGGCCTGGATTCCTGGAGGATATATTACTTGAGTGGTTTACGGGGTTTCATTACTTTAACTAATGTACTACCTGTAGTGCAGAGAGGGAAATTCTAAACTAATGATCACCTCTGTCTACCAGCTCTTCATAGAGTGCCCATCATCTGTCTTTCACTTTTGTATTTCCAGTAGGGATCCTGAAATGGGTGGTTTTGTAAGAATTGGAAGGAGGTCTCATTCTATTACTTTCAGCTTCAGCTACACTTTCCAGCCTAGAAACACCAAGATGCACAGAAGGGATTATGTTAATAATGCCTGTAATACCATCATTCTGGAGCAAAGATTGGAGTGGGTGGGGGAGGGGGGAAGGGTGGCGGGGAGTGGAGAATTCATCACTGTTCTGTTCTGACAGTATCTACATTCAGGGCACAACTTTTAACTGATTTCTACAGGGTGGGTAGAATGTGTGGGCTATATTTTCTAACATACTGAATCCATACAATGATATGTTATTTTATGTCGTTGGAAAACTACTTACTATATATCATATTAAAGAACCTTAGTGAAAAACCATCAGTCACATTAACCTTCACAAAGTTGCAAGAGAATAGATGAAAATCTAAGTTGTGAATTTATAAATGCCCCCTTCTGTGTATGAGTCAGGACTGACTTATGCATAACTTGAGACACTTTGAATTTTCCTGTCTGATTTATAAAATTGAGATATCTTTACATTTTGGCAGAGATGACACTTTAACAGAATTATATTTAAATAATGTATTACTTAGATTATAATATAGCTTTTCAGGGCCAGATCGGACTCCCTACAGTACATATGGAATTTGCATGTATATGAGGACAGACTTGCTTATTGCTTTATATTTCAGCTGTCTTGACTTGTGTAACACCATCCCTAACAAATGGCTATTCCAATATAACTGTATAATTTATCTAGATAGCTGTAGTGCATCAATTACTGTCATGGACTCAGTTACACTATTTGTAGCACAAGCTGTTCAAAATAAATGTAGTCATCAAAACTGATGGAGAAAGGACAGTGTTGCTATATCGTGACCAAACTACATACACTGTCCAGGGAAACCGGCCAACAGTCCATGTTGTAGTAAGCTACAATCCAGAAAGACATGTATTAGTTTCATCACTGGGTGCCTTGGAAGGGGATGCATTCTTCCTTCCCTAGCTACATTGCCTACTACTCCTGCTACCTAGTATGTGCGTATTATGTAATATGTATTACTGTGGGTTCCTTCTCTAGTCCTATATCCTTTAGTAAATGCAGCAGTAAAGACAACCAATAATAGCATTTTATGTAAAGGGCAACCCAAATGTACACCCAGTTTTATTAGTTGCTAGTGCTTCAAATTTTCAAGTCTACCAAGCTCTTACTTCATAAAAAATATTTTTATCTTTTAAGAAGAATGACAGTAAAACATAATTAATGACCTCTTTAAACCTTATAGCTCTTTCCTGCATGTTAAATGTTCCCAGAGTTGAAAACCTAGGGCTGCCAAAAAAAATCCCCCCCATAACCATGGGTTGGCTAAAAAGTGATCCTGAGATCTACAGGTCAGAACTTCTATAAGGCCAAAGAGAGTTCTTTATGTGAGACTGTGGACTGGATCCTACTGACATCTGAACCAAATCTGTCTGGTTTCTCACAAAAACAAATTTAAACTACTGTAAGTATTGACAAAGAAAGGTTTTGGGCATCATCAATAATAATAAAAAAAGACATAGCTAAGATCTGATTATAGAATATTTATTGTCGGCAATTTTTTTAGTGATGATGCATAAAACAGAGATCAGAGCTTGATTTTCAGATACTATGATGAGCCTACAATTTGTCAACAAATAGATAATATCAGCTATTGGTTTTTTTTCTGGCAAGCTGCAGAACTCTGTTTTCCAGGTAGTATAACATTGCTGTCCTCCTGCATATTTCTAGGTGCCTGTAACTTGCCATGATAATTTCAGTTAAAAGAACACAATGTTGTGACAATTATTTAAAATTCAAAAGATGCCAGAGTCCTTATGTATACCTCTTTCAAAAGACCCATGATTACATTTTCAATATTAATAGAAAAATGGCAGTCAGAGAGATACTGGCATAAGTCACAAAATTACCACTCAGAATTTGATAACATATCTCATAACTGTAAGGAATGGTTAGCAGTTGGATACTTTCAAAAAAAGTTGTATGATTGATTAACTTGATGACTCTCTTCTGTCCAAATTATATTGAACCACTGATCCAATGTGGCATGCTTCTGGAGATACTTTTGGGGGAGGTAGAAGTAAAAAAAAAACAAGATTCCCCAGTTGAAATAATTACAGACATTTTTCACAAGAGCAAAATAATTATTAAAAAAATAGATAATTGTATTCTGCTTACCAAATATTCCCCTTCCACTTTTAGCCAATCAAATAATGTATTTTTCACTTCCTGTCCTAAAGTATTATAGAGAAATGTTATGTTTCTTCAACCTAAGGAGGCTTGTATTAGTGTTGCAATAGGTGATTTTGTGTATTCTTGAAAAAGTTGAAAGGAAACTGTGGGATCTGTCTCAAGTAAAAGCTCTAGAAGCAAGCCATTATTGATTGCATGATACCTGAACAGGTCAAAAAATAGGAAATGTAGTCACTGATAATACATTCAGTAACTGAATGTAGAAGGAAAGTACTCCAATACATTATTTGTTAATAGATTTTGACTAGATTTACTAGCTACAGAGGTAAATGATTGCATGTCGAGGTCAAGATTCTGACTTTAGCCAAAGCTACAGACGCTGGATCCACACATGTAGGCACGTGAGGTTTGTGGCACAGCAAACCTCTTTGTGGCACCACAAACTGCATTCCCAGTATGTTAAAATGTTCCCCACGCTGCAAATTTGCAGTGCAGGTGCAAAATTTCCTATCCGGAAATCCAGGTAGCAAAAAAACCCTGCCGAGATAAAAAGTGGTGCGGTGGGCACCACAAGAGGGCGCGCCAGCAGACACAGAGGTCCTCCTGTAGATGCCGTGGCTGCCAGCCAGAGTATCTCCCCTCCTTTAGTTCTGCCCAAGCTTCTCCAGAACACCAGGAGTCAGGAGCAGAGGAGAAATGGCAGTTTCCCTCAAGCAGGGCATTTTGCTCTGCACCAAAGTGCACATGTAGCAGCATGCACAACGGCAAAAAGTAGCGGCACAAATTTGTGCCGCTACTTTTTTGCCACTACAAATATATGCCTTTGCATGTGGGGCACAGAAAAAATTGGCTGAAAGAAGAAAATGTTTCTCAGTTTTCAATCAAATATTTGCAATTTTAAAGACAAAATTTCTTTCTTTATGGTGGCTGAAAACTGATTTTCCTTTTTCATAAAAAGTTGATTTTTTTTTGCTGAAAACAGACAAAAAACAAACAAACAATGCTGACTTACCTACTCGGGTCAGTGAAATGGAGGAGCTAAGCCTCCATCATCCCCCACTCATCCATGAATGCCATTTGCCATCAGGGGCAAATACCTGAACTCAAAAACCAAGTATTCCAGGTAGTCATAAAATGCTACATTAAGCTACTTAGTGTTGTGCATGGGCTTTTTGCCCCAAATTAAAATCTCGTCCTAAATAGACATATATACAAATCATACTCATTTCCTACTGATGTAGCTTCATATGCAATACCTACCTTTAACATCATTTTCTAGCTGTTTGGCCTCATTAAGAACCCGGAAACTTTTCTGAAGAGAGCTCTTGGCACCATCCTTTAATGATCCTTGAGGACCAGATGCCTGTAGGCAAACAATCAGTATGACTTACAAAAAAGTATTTTTTAAAAATAGTTCAGCACAAGTTGAAAGTCATAAAAGGTAGAAGGCAAAGAATGTAGCTGAAGAGTGATCAAAATTTTAAGTAGTCATCAATGTGCTCTGAATTATATGCCACTGTCATTACCCTGGTCCTACAACGAGAGACTAATAAAATACTTTCCTCTTATTAATTTATTTTTATTTTTACAGGAAACCAGAACTCTCTTAGAATGTCAATGATGAAGCTAATAAAAGAAAGAAAAATAAATTGTTTATGAGTATTAAGGAAGTAGGATTGAATGTCAGAACTTTTATAAATCTTGACCTCTTTATACAACTATGGACACAGAAACATATATACAGTCCTCCTCCATAATACAAGCTATAAAACCTTTAATAGACTGAACCTCACAACACTGACTCTAATACAGACCACAAAGATGTTCTCATAGCAATTATATTTCTTTAGTTTAACAATGTCAGTCAAGAAAAGGTGAAATGAATGAAATGGGATTCACAAAGAAGAAAAGGGTAAAGTACAATTTAATCTGAAAGACTTTCGTTACATTAATAATGACCAGGATTTATCTAGGCATGCTATGTATTATTTCCTCTGTTCCAAGAAATACAAAATGTTGTACTTTCAGTGCAATAGTTGATCAATGGGAAGTCTTTTTAAAATTAGATGAGTATTTTCAGTTGCTAGGAAATATTCTAGAATGTGAAACATTTGCCCTTCAGTGTGTAAGAAAGAATTCAGGTCACTCCATAATGCAGAATGCATCGGAGAATACACTTGACAGCCAGAAAACATTTGATATTAGTCATGGGTCATAGCCTTGTAACAAGTATGTAATTATGAAGTAACTGCTTTTCATTTTCCACGGCAGAGACATACTCAAAAATAACTAGGTGCCAATTATTATTATTATTCATTATTTTTATTATGGTGAATCCCTGAGGTCACATTTTGAACAATCTCTCCCAATCGCTGCTATTTCTTCACTACATGTTAAAGACCATACATTCCATTGTCCACATTACAATCTTGGGAGAATCCTAAAATATTTCAGAAAATCATGATAAAGTTCTTTGGAAGGTAGCATTTCACTGCTTATGGCACTGTATCATGCAAATATACTGTTGCAAAGTTCAGGTTCATTGCAATCATCTCATAGGACTTGCACAGATATTTTAACTATGTGCTTAACTGCTGTCCTAAGACTGGTATTGAGTTTTGGCTTAAGTGTGTGAAACAGGACTGGCTTGTTGAGTGGTAATGACACACTTCTACACTCACAGGACGCGTCCAGATGAGCCCGCACGTGCCTCTTGCAGCATCTCAAACCCCTTTGAGATGCTGCAAGAGGCACGTGCAGGAACAGGAAAAGGTTCCCCCCACTGCAAGTTTGCAGCATGAGGGCAAAATTAGACCCCTGGATATCGAGGGGTCAAAAAAAAATGGAGCTAAAAAAGTGGGGCAGGGCATGGTCCCGGACCGTGCCCTGAGGCAACAGAGGCTGGGTCCTCCACAGAGATGCTCTGGCTGCCTGAGTGTCTCTGTGGTTGGCCCTCGCCCTGGGGCTGAAGCATGCTGCCTACCTCTGCAGGGCAGGCAGTGTGCTAGCAGCAGGGCTCCAGTGTCGGTAAGTAAGGGGTAAAGAGGGCTGGAGGAGGGGGGAGGGGACTATGGGGGGGAACCCGCTTGCCCACCCGCTCCCCCAGCCCTTC